CAGTTACCAAAATATAGTTTGAAGTGTTGATTTTTCAAAATATTGTAGGACATTTATTATAGACTTAATCAAAAGAACCATAAATAGACACACATAGAGGAAGTAGAGATGAACCCTGTGTAGCAGCAGAGATGTGTAACTGCAGAGGGAGCAGTTCACACAAGTAGGGGTGTATAAGCTTGCCCCTGTTTGTGAAATGTTGGGTGTTATTTGAGAAGCCCCAGGATTCCCAGAGGTCTGTCTGGAAACCATTGCTCTGGAACACTTCTCCCAGAGGCAACATTTTATGCCAGATCCTAAAACTTTTATTCTGGTGTTACTGCCAGTCTGAACAACTGAGCTCTTTGGATTCACTCAAAGGATGTGCTAACTCAGTTTTACAGGGAAATTTATGGTAACATCAAAAGCGCAATGACAAATCTCTCGGACCAGTGAGGGTACTACATATTTATCGGTCTAATTATGTCAACTCTTCTCAGAAGCAGGATAATAACATTATAGTAAGCAGTGCTCCGAGCTGTTTTGTTTTTTAAGAAATTTAAATGCTGGCCTCCTCTAGCTGTTGTTTTTTAAGAAGACATTTTTTACAGCAATTGTGGAGCAGGTTCCTCCAAAGCTTATCAAATAATGTCCAGCATTTCACAGATAAAAAGGGCACTGCTAATGAAGGAACAGTGGTAAAAGCGTTCTAAGATTGCAAATTGATCTGAAAAAAATGATCTGGATGATGATGATGATTTGTTCTGGTATTCTGGGAAGCCCCAGTCGAACAAGCCAGCCCCCAGCCCATTAGCCTCCCATATACCTGCCAAACCTAAGACTACGGACTCAGCTATACAGCTGTAAATAAAACGATTTAGGCATGTTGTAAAATGCAATATACAAATGTGGCACTAGATGGCGATGGTGAGCTATGGCAAATTCAATATTTTTCAAAACGTTTTCACTGCATTTTATATGTGTGTATATTCCACCTACATTGCTGCAATCAGCCAGAGTCCAGAAGACTACCTGTCCACAGTAACCTGGGAAAATACCTGCCCAGACATTATGCCAGCTTAGTCCAACACAGCTAATCATTCAAATACAGTGGTGCCCCGCAAGACGAATGCCTCGCAAGACGAAAAACTCGCTAGACGAAAGGGTTTAGCGATTTTTTAGTCGTTCCGCAAGACGAATTTCCCTATGGGCTTGCTTCGCAAGACGAAATGTCTTGCGAGTTCTTGCGAGTTTGTTTCCTTTTTCTTAAAGCCGCCAAGCCGCTAAGCCGTTAATAGCCGCTAAGCAGCTAATAGCCGTGCTTCGCAAGACGAAAAAACCGCAATACGAAGAGACTCGCAGAACGGATTAATTTCGTCTTGCGAGGCACCACTGTAAATGCAGGGACAGAGTCTGCTGTGAAGGGGGTGGAGCTCTGTTGAGTAAGTGGGAGGGGCCTAACTCCTTAATAATTTCCCTTCTCTCCCGAAGTAGAGGATTTAGTGGGTGGTCGTAACAGAGCCCTTCCACTGTCCTTGCAACACCATTAAACCAGGAGGAGGAGGAGAGAAACAAGCTGTCGGCTAGAGATTAGTCTAATTGAATATATTCATGCCAAATACCTACAGGATCCATGCAGCTTTTTTGCCATCTCAACAGGCAAAAGGTGTGAGAAACCAACACACAGTGAGCCTTCCGTGTCCTGGTGACAGGAATGAGATAAAGATACAGATTGGAGGAAGAAAGGGGCCCTGAAGGAATGGAACTCAGTGCTCACCTCTTGGTATTCATTCCTGCTTTTGTTCTGCTCTGTTCCATTCTGCTCTTGATTCACACCCTGTTAAAGAACACAGACGCTACATAGTAAAGTGTGTAGGTCAGGCATGGCCAAACTTGGCCCTCCAGCTGTTTTGGGACTACAATTCCCATCATCCCTGACCACTGGCCCTGTTAGCTAGGGTGATGGGAGTTGTAGTCCCAAAGCAGCTGGAGAGCCAAGTTTGGCCATGCCTGGTGTAGGTAGTATCTCTACTATCCATCTCTCCAAAAAATAGTTACGTGGATATCTTTGCACCCTTGGCAAGGAACTGTATCAGTGACACACACCCCCCAAATAAATCATGTTACAGTCGTACCTTGGTTCTCGAACACCTTGGTACTCGTACATTTTGTTTTGTTTTTTTAAATGATATTTATTAACATTTCAAAAAATACAAGAATTACACAAAAACAAAAAGTAAAAATACAAAAAAAAAAAGGAAATTCAAAATACAGAAAAAGAGTAAAAGACACTTAAAAAGAAAAAGGAAAATGGATCAATCTTTCCATAACTTACATTCATATCCTTGTTTCCCTGACCTCCTCATACCTCCCTTTTTGTATTCCAGTTCAATTAGTTAAGTCAGCAATTTCTTTCCCTCTTTGTTTTCTCATAATTCTTTAACTTAATATACTATAACTTTAAATTTTCATCTGTTATCAGTCCTTTTTTACCTACACCTTTATAACATTACTGCTTAAACCACCTAGCTTCATTCTGACATCATTCTAACATTCAATAATTTTACAATATTTCTGTAAATAGTCTTTAAATTTCTTCCAGTCTTCTTCCACCGACTCTTCTCCCTGGTCTCGGATTCTGCCAGTCATTTCTGCCAATTGGTACCCGTACATTTTGGCTCCCAAATGCCAAAAACCCAGTAGTAAGTGTTCCGGTTTTCGAACATCTGACGCAGCTTCTGCTTGAGTGCAGGAGGCTCCTGTGAGAAGCTCCGGAAGCCACACTTGGTTTTCGAGCATTTCAGAAGTCGGACAGACTTCTGAAACAGATTATGTTTGAGAACCAAGGTACGACTGTACTCGACATGTTTACACTTCTGATATGAACTGCCACATGCCCGGGTTTCCCCAGACATTTTAGCCGCTTTTCTAAAATTCTGCCCAGACGCCATTTTCAGTGGATGAATCCCAGCTGTGTCTGGACGTATGGCAGCCCTAGTTTGCAATTTACAGCGGACACTCAGGTTGCGAACGTGATCCGTGCGGGATGCACGTTCGCAACCCACAGCGTTCGCAACCCGCAGTGGCACTTCTGCGCACGCGCGGGTTGCAATTTGGCGCTTCTGCGCATGCACAAAGTGTGATTTGGTCTTCTGCGCATGCGCGACCGCCAAAACCTGGAAGTAACTCGTTCTGGTACTTCCGGGTTTCGGCGGGTGCGTACCCCGAAAAAATGCAACCTGAAGCGGCTGTAACCCAAGGTATGACTGTACTGCAAAAAAAGGATGAGAAGTTTCTCCCACATTTGATCTTGTTGCGACAGCAGCATACTCTCTCTCTCTCTCTCTCCATATTCTGATAGGTGAGGGCCGGTTTCGCCAACCCTTAGATATGCCTCTGGATATTTGCCTTCCAGATCATTCCTGTACAATGGAGCAAACCATCCTTCTGCAGCTGGGCTTTTTAGCCTCTGCAGGGTTTGTATGCTTTCACACTGGTCTCTGACCATGGCAAATTAATTGGGCTCCACTCCCAAACCCACTCTTCCCCCAGACCTAGGCAGCAGAATTGTTTGTCCCAAGAATTGGTGGCCTGAAATTTCTCCTACCGAGCAGGTAGGCGCTCCTCCCGGCCCTGTAGGACACCAAATATGCTGCAAATGAACTCGAGAACTGGATAAAGGGTAGTCATGATAATGACGCCACTTATTTCCCCCCACTGATGAGAGGCTGCCAGCTTGCATGAAATGGTAAAATGCTCCTATTCCTTTTCACGCAAGGCAATATTTGATTACTGTGAAATTGTAGATGGCTCTGGCTCTGAATACCCTTGCTTTCATCTTGCAATAGCATTCAAGCACATGCTTAACTTCAAGCAAATTAATAATCACAATGGGATTACTCTTTGGTGGTTAAAGCTAGGCACATGCTTAAGAGCTTTGCAAGGTCAGGCTTAGAGCATTCAGCACCGCACTGTGTCAATCCCCTAGCAGAAAACAGTGCATAAGGGATCACAACTGAGTTTTTAAAGACGTGGGCAGAAAAAGAAAAACCTCTAATTCAGGTCATGCATCAGAAACACAACTTTTCTCTGTGAGCATTGCCTCGCTCTTTCAGCCTCCTTCGTCCTTCTCCATGTATCAGCTTCTCACATTCTCACTTTGCACAAAATCTAGTCTAATCTCCTGCTTTCTTATTCCATATTATTACCTCTGTTAATCTCCCCTGCAAATAACCTATATTTGGTTAAAATTCAAAAATAGAACCTCTTCCACAGACTTAGGCTCTTGTGATTTAATATATGCTGCTCAGCCCTTAACAATCATGCAGTCAAGAGACCTAAATATTGTGCATTTTGTGCAGCCAATGCTTTCAGGCTTTGGCATGAACTTCTTATCCACAACATATTTAGGTTTATTTATAACCTAGGAATTTGTGTAGCGATTTAATTTGTATAAAATAAGTGTCACTGAACAAATGTAGATGGTGGAAAAAAGAAAGCAAACTCAGGGCCTATTTGGAACAGAGGCTCATCAAAGTTGATCTCTGGGATCTGTTTTCAAGTCAAGGTTTACACTTGGAGATATAATGAACAAAAAAGAGCACCATTGTGCATATGCAGAATGCATTTCCTTTACCACTGAAGAATTAATTTGTCTTCCAGACAAGTATGATCCTCCTGTTAGAAAAAACAGAGACCAGTCTTGAACCACTGCCACATATTTCTGGATTTTCAAATGGGAAAGATCTCAGAGGACTTGTTTATTGTAACAAAGAAACGTACATGCATGCATGACATATTGCTTTTAGGCATACAATGATTTCCTCTTCATTTTGAGTGGCCAACAATGTAACCCTATTCATGTCTAATTGGAAGCCTGTTCAGTTGAGCTTATTCCCAGTTAAGTGGCTATAGGATTGTAGCCTGAAGAAAATTGCTTTTCAGCCTGGCATGTGTGTATCCAAGGTGTGGTGTGATAATCTACATTTGTACATCTCATTGCAGACTGTTTTTGGTATAGGACAGTGTGTGTGTGTGTGTGTGTGTGTGTGTGTACACGCACATACACATGCGCGCACACACACACAAAAACACACTAGTGCTGGATTTACGTATAAGCTAAACAAGCTTTAACTTAGGCCCCCCCCAAAAAAAAATAAAGGGGAAAAAACCTGAATGTACATTTCCAAAATATAAGATAAAAAACAAATAAAATAAAACCTACATACAGCAACAGTGTTTTGTGTTGTGTAGGCTCCTATGATGTAAGTAATGGACCCCGACTGCTAGCCTGCTCCCTAAAATATCACTGGTTTGCTCATTTCTGTATATAGGGTGCCTACATTCTGCATGTGCAAATGGCTGTAGATACCTATTAGGTCCATAAATTACCATATAGCATATATTCAACACAAAAAACAGTGACAATTTGTTGTTGACAAAGGACAGCTGGACATATAAAGGGCCCCATTACTTTCAGGAACTTAGAGCCTCATCAAACCTAAATCCGACCCTGACACACACACACACACACACACACACACACACTTGCCACATCGGTGACAAGGAAGGTAGCATGGAGGGAGAAAATCCAGGCTTGTTCTTTGTTTTCTTTCTATTTTTCTTCTTAGGTCAGCTTGCCAAAAGTGTGTTTGTGTGTGTTGTACATTAGCAATTTTAAAAGAGGCAGCTATGCCTGCAAAGCCTCCAATATAGGTGTATACTCCTACATAATACAGTGGTGCCCCGCAAGACAAATGCCTCGCAAGACGAAAAACTCGCTAGACGAAAGGGTTTTTCGGTTTTGCGTTGCTTCGCTAGACGAATTTCCCTATGGGCTTGCTTCGCAAGACGAAAACGTCTTGTGCTTTTTTCTTAAAGCCGCTTGAAGAGGCGCAGTTGCGACGGACCGTGCTTCGCAAGACAAAAAACATCGCAAGACGAAAAGACTCGCGGAACGAATTATTTTCGTCTTGCGAGGCACCACTGTAGTTTGAAACTGACTAAGTTCCACGATGCCCTTTTAGATTCCCTTGGGAATGTGAATAGCGGGTCCATCAAGCAAGCAGAGAGTTCAGCGCATCACATTGCCTGGAGCTGCTTGGCCATATTTGCATACGTTCTGGGTTCTCTTTGCTTTGAGTGTTTCCTTCCTTCCCCTCCTCTCTCCCCCACCTCCATTTACCCAGCTGCACTTGGTAATGAACCTGACAACATTAAAAAGTCACTAGAAGTAACCCAGCTGCCTCAAAGTGAGTTCATAGAGAGAGCGACTTTGTAGCTCCTCTCAGTCAGTCCATTAATTGCACATAATGAGGCATTTAGTGACAGAGGGATGGTTGATGAGCCTTAGCTGAAATAACAAGAGCTTGCCAGAAGCTGCATTTTCACTGTCAAGAAGGAAGTCGCAGAATCCTGACAATAGCGATGAAAGGAGCGGGTTGTTGAGTCATAGGGCCGTATGCTAACCTATTAGGACATGTGCTGCTCCATCCATCGCTGAGCACTGAAATGTGACCCTGGGGGTGCTTTAAGGGTGCTGCTACTCCATCACTCTATGGGGACTGGCTGTCCTGGGCTCACAGGGAGCCTAAGCTCCTTCAGTAGAGAGAAAGCTATTCATGCTGATGCCTAGATCCTCAGGGGCTTGGAACACTATTTGCACAAGAAGAGAAGCCAGCCCCCGTGTGCTCCATTCCATGCATCTCAAACAGCGGAATCTAGACCCTTAGTAACCGGTTGCCAATTATAGCCTTGACAAGATTCGCTTGCTTTCCCATACATCCTGGCCTACAAAGGGCTGAAAAGAACAAGGAACGAGCAGTGAAGTCGGTAGCCAGGCCACGGCTATCCCTGTGCTCTGGTAACATCCAATTTTGACTACTGAAATGTGTTGCATTGTCCTGAACCCCTGGCCTACCCAGCAGCAAGTCAGTATGTCAAGTCCAAAGTCCAGGGGTCAAGCTGCACAAGCAAAGTCCACACCCAAAGGTCAGGCAACACAGTCCACAGTCATCCAAGACAAGATACAGTTCAGAGTCAAACCTGAAACACAGTCCCATAGAGGTCCAGGAGCATCTAAGCCAAGGTCCACCAATACGGGCAGTTGAGCAGACCTATCACCGCAGCTCTGCTTCCCTTTTGGACTTTGCATGCTGATTGCAGCATCTGGGCTTGATGTGACATGTGACCCTGACCTTTCCCAAGCCTACTCTAGCTGAGGAATCACACCCCTCCTCCCAGAGCTAGCAAGCCCCACCTGGCCAGCTAGTGAGCCAGGTTGTGAGCCCCTGCCTGCCTCAGCCTCCTGGAGCACCCTACCAGCTGCTCCCTACACCTCAGAGCCTGCCATGATCATGGAGACAGGGGTCCCTCTGGTTCAGGTGATGGGTCCTGCAGCTCTGGTTCCTGTGCACTGACCCCCATCCCTTGGTCATCCTCCATCATCCTGTGAGTACTTACTTCCCCATTCCCTGCTTGCCCCGGTGTGTCCCAGTCCCAGCTACACCCCCCTCCAGGATCCTCTTCCTCCTCTTCATCTGAGGTGGACATGCTGCTCTGTTTCCAATTACTGCATGTCCCATAACTCCTCTACTACAAATGTAATGGACTTCCTGTCATTTTGTCACACTGTAGACAGCAATAATGTGGTAACATTGACAGCAAATAAACAACAACAACTCATAAATTGGAATGGTGTGGGGGTAATTAGATATACAGTGGTACCTCGGGTTACATACGCTTCAGGTTACAGACTCCGCTAACCCAGAAATAGTACCTCGGGTTAAGAACTTTGCTTCAGGATGAGAAGAGAAATTGTGCTCCAGCAGCGCGGCAGCAGCAGGAGGCCCCATTAGCTAAAGTGGTGCTTCAGGTTAAGAACGGACCTCCGGAATGAATTAAATACTTAACCCGAGGTATCACTGTATAAATCCACCATGAATGCATCAATGACATGTTGCAAAAAAAGTGAAAGAAGAAAAAGCCCATTGTGAAGGGACCCCAGGATAGCTTAGTCTCTTCAATCTTTCCTGTGCTTGAAGTTCATCCTGAGAAGCTCGTCTACAAGTGTCTCCCACATACTAAAATAAGGCAGGCAGTAACCAGATGGTGGACAGGGCCTTTTCAGTAATGGCACCCCATTCTTTGAATGCCCTGCCTCAATCTGTATTCCTGATGCTTAAGGTGCAAATAAAACTGGTTTTATTTGTCCAGATCTTTTAATCTTACTGTTTTATCTGCCTTGGTAGCTCAGTCAGTAGAGCATGAGACTCTTAATCTCATGGTTGTGGGTTCAAGCCATATATTGGGCAAAAGATTCCTGCATTGCAGTTGTGATCCCACCCAACTCTACAATTCTATGATTCTACTGACAGTTGCTTTGGGGGGTTTTTAGTGCTTTTTCTCTGTAGTTGTTTCACTGTTCAGTTTTGATGTTTTGCTCTTCTCATTGGTTGTGTTGTTTACTGGTGGTTCTGACGTTTTAATGTTTGTTGTTTTATTGCTTCGAGCCACCTCCAAAAGTCCTTTGAATACACAAGATCTAAATATATGAGCAAATGCATAAAATGAAGTAAAGTTGACTTTGTGAGACCTCCATTAACCCTCTTGTTCATAGTCAAGGGCAACCACTTCTGGCTTTTGAAAAAGCTATGCCCCCGCCCCCATTCTACACACACGTGCTCTTTTCACTCAATGGAGCAAATATGTATTTTGTATTCAGGTATATGCCACCCCCAAGTACAAAACAGTAAAGTGAGAATTTAGCACCCCTTACACTTTGAAATCTCCCAAGGGTATCTTCAGTATAAAACCCATTACTAATTCCAAGTGCTTTACTAAGTGCATAAATGGATTTGAAATTGTTCACATTAAAGCCCATAATTTTCATGTCAGAAAGAAGTCTGTGGCAAAACAAGAGCCTGAACGTATTTTGAAACATTTAACCTTGCACCCAAGCAAATGAGTACCTATCTGGGCTGTTTACATAAATTGCTTCTATGCTTAGCTAGACCTGCACATCTGTCCAAATTGAAGCTTTTTCACTGTTGTCACTGAATTAAGACATTTTGAAAATTAAATTAAAAAATCCCCTACACAGTGGTGTAGCGTGGGTTGCCAGGTCCTGGGGCTGTGTGGAGGGCAGGGGGGATGGAGGGAAACAGACAGATTATGCATGCATACTTAACTGCCTAAAGGCATCCATGTCACCCAGGAGATTGCAGCTGTAGAGGTAAGAAAAGAAGAGTCGTCCCATTGTCTGGAGAGGTCACTTCCTGGGTGGCATGGAGAAGTAATTTTCAACGGAGCCCAGCAACGGAAGCACGCAGCTGTATTGAGGCAGCACCTGGTTTTGAAATTTTGCACCTGGGGCAACCACCCCTGTGGCCACCATGCTATGCCACTGACCTTATACCACTGACCCTACGTAAAAGAAAACTGCATAAAAATATGCCCAAGATCAGTGTTCTGCAACCTGGTGCCCTGCAGATGTTTTGTGCTACAGTTCCTATTAGTTCTAACCAGCATGGCCAGGGTTGATGGAAATGGTAGTTGAAAATACTTAGAAGGAACCAGGTCAGGGAAAGCTGACACAAGACGAAGACATACTTTAGCTTGTTTCAAGCAATAGAGATGTCCAGCATAACACAAATTACAGTATTATGGCTGGGACTGCAGAGCTGAAGAGCAGCACACTCAGACCCTCCAAGAGTCCCTTATTTTCCAGGAACATCCCAGATTTACAGAGGCTGTCCTGGCTTCTGATTCAATCCTGGAATGTCCCACTTTTTCCTATTTTCATTGGAGAAATGTTGGAGGGCATGGAGTTATCCAACCTCCAAGCTGTCTGAAGGCAATACTGTATGGGAAGTTTTTTAATGTTTAATGTTTTATTATGTTTTTATATATGTTGGGAACCGCCTAGAGTGGCTGGGGCAACCCAGTAAGTTGTGTGAGGTATAAATAGTAAAATTATCATTATGGAATGAGACATCCCTATTTTCATCAGAGAAATGTTAGAGGGTATGCACACTCTGACCTCTGCCATTGGCTAGGAGACAAAGGATTGCTGAGAAGCTGCTGCCCCTGCCTATCAAGA